CTGTTATACACTCAGACACATTACTGGGAGTATTATTGCTGTGGAGCTCTGTTATACACTCAGACACATTACTGGGAGTATTATTGCTGTGGGGCTCTGTTATACGCTCAGACACATTACTGGGAGTATTATTGCTGTGGAGCTCTGTTATACACTCAGACACATTACTGGGAGTATTATTGATGTGGAGCTCTGTTATACACTCAGACACATTACTGGGAGTATTATTGCTGTGGAGCTCTGTTATACACTCAGACACATTACTGGGAGTATTATTGCTGTGGAGCTCTGTTATACACTCAGACACATTACTGGGAGTATTATTACTGTGGAGCTCTGTTATACACTCAGACACATTACTGGGAGTATTATTGCTGTGGAGCTCTGTTATACACTCAGACACATTACTGGGAGTATTATTGCTGTGTAGCTCTGTTATACACTCAGACACATTACTGGGAGTATTATTGCTGTGGAGCTCTGTTATACACTCAGACACATTACTGGGAGTATTATTGCTGTGGAGCTCTGTTATACGCTCAGACACATTACTGGAGTATTATTGCTGTGGAGCTCTGTTATACACTCAGACACACCAACAATATGGAGCAACTAGATAGCATACCTCCAGAGTACCAGGACACTGTTGGGTTTGGGGGTAAATGGGGTGGGCTTGTCTGTCCAAATTACAGACCTGTAAGCCTAACGTGAATGCCTGCCAGGCTATGTGCCAATCATATAAAGCCGGCAACTGAGGCAGACCCTGTAGTGCTCCCTGCAGGGTCCCAGAGCGCATACAACGATTAGCTTTCACTGTACTTGTCAGGGACACATGGTACAGGACCCCAAAATCAGGACTGTCCTGTCCAAATCAGGATGGCTGGGAGGCCTGGGATAGCATAAAGGAACAGAGGGATTTGGGCCCAAAATAGGGACTGTCCCCTAAATAAGGACACTGGGGAGATATGGTCTGTAGCAGGTGATTGACAGATATTGCCTGGCTCTCGGATACCTATAACTCCTTGAGTGGAGATATTGGCCTGCAGTGATCAGGTGAAGGATTCTGGGTAATAAACAGGGAGGCAGCAAGCACCCTGGGGGTTATATACAAAGGCTATGGAGTCTTTTTGCTCTCAATGGGGACTCGCTTGGGTTGGGTGTGGGGAGACTGGCCAGACCTGAACAGCTGGTGACTTCCCAGAATAGAGCTTATCAATGAGGCTGTCACAGAAAGAGTATAACAATTGGCGGAACCCCTGGCAGGACCTGCTGTAGAACCCCTGATGGAACCTGCGGTGGAACCCCTGATGGAATCTGTGGCAAGAACCTGGTGGAGCCCTGGCCGGACCTATGGCAGGATCTGTGGCAGAAACTTGGTGGAACCCCTGGCAGAACCTGTGGCAGAACCCTGGTGGAACACCTGGTCGGACCCGTGGCAGAACCCTGGTGGAACCCCTGTTAGAACCTGTGGCAGGACCTTGGTGTAACCCATGGCTATGTCATGATACGTAATGGCTTATCCATTAAACCGATAGAGAGCAGAATTCAGCAGCGAATTGCACATTTAGGCCAAACTAGAAATCCCCCAAAAAACATATTTTTCATAATTCTCTGCAGAAATCACTTTTCTAGTTGATCCAGAGAGAGTATGCACTTTATGGGGTACTGTCACAGGAATTCACACTGATTAAAACACTCACAGGGCTTATCACTAAACACAGAATGACCGAATCCAGAGATCATTAACAATTCTCATATTCACAAAGTATTACATGAGCCGAGTGGATCTGCAGTAAAATTGGCACTTTGTATCTGAATACCGTTCAAAGTATACATTAAAGGAACACTAAAGTCACCTAAATTACTTTAGCTAAATAAAGCAGTTTTAGTGTATAGATCATTCCCCTGCAATTTCACTGCTCAATTCACTGTCATTTAGGAGTTAAATCACTTTGTTTCTGTTTATGCAGCCCTAGCCACACCTCCCCTGGCTATGATTGACAGAGCCTGCAGGAAAAAAAACAAACTCGTTTCACTTTCAAACAGATGTAATTTACCTTAAATAATTGTATCTCAATCTCTAAATTGAACTTTAATCACATACAGGAGGCTCTTGCAGGGTCTAGCAAGCTATTAACATAGCAGTGGATAAGAAAATCTTAATTAAACAGAACTTGCAATAAAGAAAGCCTAAATAGGGCTCTCTTTACAGGAAGTGTTTATGGAAGGCTGTGCAAGTCACATGCAGGGAGGTGTGACTAGGGTTCATAAACAAAGGGATTTAACTCCTAAATGGCAGAGGATTGAGCAGTGAGGCTGCAGGGGCATGTTCTATACACCAAAACTGCTTCATTAAGCTAAAGTTGTTCAGGTGACTATAGTGTCCCTTTAAGAAGATTCACAATGACTTATTAATCAATCGCCACATTAAATAATTAATAATAAATAATTTACAATCAATCTGTAAGATCCCTTTATTACTATTATAAGGGAGGTGGGGGCATATCTACTAAATATTGAAAACTAGCGACTGGGCAGCCATTGTCTATAATAAATACCCTACCAGACACACATGGGAGGGGGCTGGGTGGAGACAATAGGGACCCCCTTGTTTAATTATTTAGAGCCCCCATGGAGCTGGGATGACGGCCCTAATTACCCCATTCCTGTCTTTATGCCCCTGCCTGACACCCCTCAATTTTTTTTCTTCCAGCTCCCCTACCTGATGCCCAAGACTATTCCTCCCCCCAACCCTCCCCATGGGTAGACACATTTGTTTGTGGCATGTATTAGACTTTTTATATGTTTTAAATGTGAATGGACCCTGAAGAAGTCCAAAGCAACTGGGTGAAACGCTTAGAATCTATTTGTTGCTTTTTTTCTTTACCCTATTGGAGTTAATTCTACTTTTACCAACACCGGTGTCCCTTGAGCATTCCGGCAATGAACGCAAACAGAGGCAATATGCTGGTCACCCACTGAGAAAGCCTGGGTGCTTTGGAGACATTTAATCACATGAATCGTGTGAGTGCAATCTATAGCTGAGGCACAATATTAAAATGTAAAGGAGTAGCTGCCACCATCCACACGGCCATTCCTGGCAAGCTGTATATTGTTATATGTTCCCCCTAGACTGAGTTTCTAATCACTGTTTGCAGTGTTTGAGACAGTAATTAATTCTCAGTATGATGTGAAGGTTTTATGGATCTGAGTCATATTCAGTCTGGTTTACTAACAGCACCCAGACTACAATGGGTATTTTAGTC